GACGCAGAGGGGAGCTTGGCCTGGAGAAAGGTGACAGCCCAGCTCCGCCGTGAGGGAGCCAGCACGGACCGTGATTGGTCCCGTCCCCACCGTGTGCTCCTGATGGGAGGAGGATTGTACCTTACCTTTGAGGTCCCCCTGCCCTGAGCCGAGAACCCCGGCATGGCCCTATTGCTCCTGCTCGCTGTGTCCCTCATAAGGGACAACCTCACAGAGGAGCCGGGACTGACCAGACTCGCACCCCGTGTCCCTGTCCCGGCCTCAGTTGCTAGACTCTGAAATTCTTTTGGCAGAGCCACCTACGTGCCCTATTTCCTGGGGAGCCCTGGGGAGGTCACAGTTGAGTCAGCCCTTCTTGGCCTCAGCTCCTGGAGCTCCTGGAAACACCAAAGCAACATCCATGTCATGGCCCAGAGCCATGGCACCGGTTGTGGCTCTCAGTGCCCAGTCAGCCCCATCCTTGCCCAGAGTCTCCCGGGGCTGGCACGCAGGCAAGAGGTGGCCGCTCTCTGGACCCTGGGTTCTTTGCATGTTAAAGATGGAAAGCAAGTGCTTCCCCTCTCTTTTGGAGAGTGGATCAGTAATCAGGGGGACGCTGTCACTGGCCACTGACCCGGCACCTATTCTAGGAACAGGAGGAAGCACGGTGGCCCAGACAGACAGCACTCTGTCCTCAGGGGGGCCATGTTCTAAGTGAAGGGACACCAGACACACTTGGAAATAAAGGATTCTTTCTACGGCATCCGGGAAGCAGGCATGCTCAACAGGACAATGTTCGGTGGGAGAGAAAGAGGCCAGGATCCGCCCAGTTTCTGCGGCTTGCTGTGATGCATTCTCCATCCCTCTCTTGCGTGCCCTCAGGGGCTAGAAGCCTGAGAACTACCTTTGCCACACTGCAGGTAGGTTGAGCATCGGGAGGCCCTGGGGCAGATGGGTGAGGAAGGGGAAGCATTGCTCTCTGCTTCTGGGGTGACTTCTAAAGCACCCACACCAGTGGGGGCACAGGGCAGGTGTTCAGTGTTCGGACATGGCAGCCAGAATGCAGGCTTGTGTCTTTGTGGCCCCGTCCAAGCCCAGAAGCAGCAATAAAAGTAGCAGCAGTGGTGCCGGCTGCTTCCCAGAGGCTGTGGGCCTGGCTTCCGGGGTCCAAAGCGGCTCCCTCTCACTCCTTCCTCCTCCCAGGACACTTGCAACAATTCCCTGCAGCAAGCAGCCTTCCCTGTGAGCTACTAAGGCTGGTTTCTGGTCTCCTGGCTGGACATTAATGGACACAGAAGCCAATAAATGAGCTGATAGATATTAAAATGCTTTTTTATTACAGCTAGGGTCAAAGCAGAAAGGAAACTCCAACCCAAACTCAGTGATTTCCCCCTTAGTGGGACTCCAACATCCTCCATCCAGACCATCTGTCATCCCAACTAGAGCCCACGGGCCTCTGCAGAGCCACGATGCAGAGCCCCCATCTGTGTCCCCACTGCCACCCACACCCACGGCCCTGTCCTCTTCGCTTGGCTACTAAGGGCCACTTTCTCAGCATGGCGCTCGGCCCACCCTCCTACTTCCCATCTACTCTGCTTTGCTTAGTCTCATCCATAATGTCACGTTGCTTTCAAAACGGACAGTACCTGGGAACGAGATCACAGACGTGGATCCAATTCCCTCTTCTAGCCACAAATGCCATGCCACCGAGACATGAGCATGTCCGTCCCGGTATCCTGCAGCATTCCGGGACCTGGAAATCTCCCAAACTAGTACTGCAAATGCTGTTTCCTTGAGGCAGGGGTGGAGAGGGGACCTATAGTTTTTAGCAGACTGTCAAAGAAATATGGGACCCGCGAAAAGCTGCAGCTTCTTTAGGCTTCACAGGGAGCACAGGGAGAAATCCCTGTTTCTATTTACCTCAGCTATTTAGATTGCAGACATTTATGCTTACTTTTTTGGCAATTTTTTCTTTGTTTGTTTTAAGAGAGGGTCTCACTATGTAACCCAGGCTGACCTTGAACTAGTGGCGATCCTCCTGCCTCAGCCTCCCGAGTGCTAGCCTTACAGGCATGTGCCAGGCCTGAGCTCCCTCACCATCCCAAGCTCTGTCCTTCAGGATCCCACTTCTTGCCATCAGAGAGGGGCCTAGGAATGGAGGAGGCTGACTCCCAATCCCTAGCCAGTGCTCTCCCTCCACCACACACAAACCATACCTCGCCAGGCCCTGTGCACATGCCTGTCATCTCAGCTACACAGGGGGCTGAGGCAGGAGGATTGACAGAGCACAGGAGTTCGAGGCCAGCCTAGACCATGGAGTGAGACCCTGTCTCAAGAAAACAAACCCCAGGGCTGGGGATTTAGCTCAGTGGTTTCGCCGCCTGCTGTGCAAGCGCAAGGACCGGAGTTCGATCCCCGGTACCAAAAAAAAAAAAAAGGTAAGAAAACAAACCCCAAGCAAAACAAAACAAAACCCAGCTGCTTTTCCCAGCCCTCTTGTGGAAGGACTCTGCTTCCCAGACTGACCATCCTGTCCCCCTTCTCCAGGTGCTAAGACCACAGCTGTGGCCCCAGCCCAGCCACTGGCCTGTGCTGGGGACAGGAAGTGAGGGGGATCTGTGCATGCAGGTGGCAGTGGCCAGGGCGGCTTGGGGGGCCAACTAGAGCAGAGCTGGGCTTGTGAGCTCACTGAGGGGCAACTGAGGGACCAAGCACGTGGGACGGAGCCTATGCAAGGGGTTACTTGGCTACCAGGAGGGCACTGGGGGCAGTTTGCAGGGAGCAGGAGAGAGCGCTGAGCTGGGGGTCTGGACACCGTGGTCCTGGTTGGTTTGCGGCTCACTTGCTGCAGACTCTCATTAGTGCCTTCCAGTCTCTGGCCTGTTTCCCCACCTGGAAACCTGGAAACATGCACCAAGCTCTCCACGGCAGCCACAGTTCGGGCCAGTGCACTGTAGCTGTTAACAAGCAGGTATGTAGTCAGGAGGCAGAAAGGTCTATGGAGGGCAATGGAGTGGTGCGCCGGCGGAGAGGGATGGGTCTCGCAAGGCCTCACTTAGACGGAGACTCAAGCAGAGGAAGCGAGAGAAGGCACCCTAGAAGGGCATTCTGGACAGAGGAAGAGCAAGTGCAAAGGCCCTGAGTGAGAACACGCTTGATAAGTTAAAAATAATACAAGACGGAAGCAGCCTGGCTAGGAGGGAAGAAAGGAGGGGACGTGGAGCCCGGGGCGCTGGAGCCCCGCACAGGAGGCTGCCGGTCACACTGGAGGTGCATTTGGCTCTAATCTGAGCAGTGGGCCCTGGGAAGCTCGGCCGGGCTCCTGATAGCCCCCTGGTGCTGAGGCAGGGTTGCACCTGCTGTCCCCTCACCATCCAGGAGTCTGGCCAGGCCCTGCAAGGAGAGACAGCAACAGGCCAGGCACAAGAGTGAGGCACTTGGCCCAGGTGCAAAACTTAACAGGGGCATCCAATACCTCAGTCATTAAGAAAAAAACTTTTTCCTTGCAATCTATTTAAAATCAAAATTTATGTCAAAAAAGCGCATGGGAAGCAAAATACCAACATTTGGCTTCGAAGTTGTGGTCTTCCTGTCTCAGCTTCCTGAGTGCTGGGATTACAGGCCTGCACTACCATGCCTGGCTGCCAATAAAACTTTATTTACAGGGCCGGGGATGTAGTTCAGTGGCACTGTGCCTGCCTCCCAAGCATAAGGTCCTAAGTTCAATCCCTGGTACCCAAAGCAAAACAAAACAAAACTTTATTTACAAAACAGGCAGCTGGTCCACAGAACTAGTTTGCTTACTTGCTTCTTAAAAATATTGCCTTAAGCCAGATGCAAGGGCACACACCTGTAATGCTAGCCCCTTGGGAGGCTGAGGCAGGATTTTGAATTTCAGGCCAGCCTGCGCACCTTAGTATGTAAAAAGGCTTGAGGATATAGCTCAGTGGTAGAGCATTTGCCTACCTACCATATGTGAGGTCCTGGGTTTGATTCTCAAAAAAAAAATTTTGGCCTTAAAATATTATTACCTGGGTGCCCTCTAAAGTTACACAGTCAAGTGCTTCGATGAACCCTTTGGGGTACACATTGAGCACCTCAATGCTCATCTCTCTGAGGCTCAGAGGCAGCAAAGAGTTCCCCAAAGAAACACAGACTGGGGGGGAGGGGCTCCACGCAAGGACCACAGCCCTGTTGTTCCTGTCCTGAAATGCAGACTCTAAAGCGTTGGTTTTTTAAACACTTTCATCCAAGTATGATCATCACCCCAAAACGTGCGTGTACCTTATACATTCAGCTGCTGAATCCTTGCAAACCAGCACACCTATGTAACCCGCGCAGAGTCAAACTGTAAGCAGACTTTAGTCCTGGGCCAGATCCAAGGGCTTTTGAGATTCCGCGGGCAAGTTGGGACCGTAAGGGGTCTCCCAGAGTTTAGGGGCCCAGAGCTGAGACTGAGAGGCTAAGGGGAGAGGGCGCAGAGCGGAGGTCTGAGACCCGGGCAAGGGCTCCTGAGAGGACAGAGACCCCGCCCTTGGAGGCGCGAGGCCCTGCCCCAGGCCCAGGTAAGAATGCGGCGGCCGCCTGGCCCGTGCAGGCGCGTCCGGGTGACTCAGCCCGGCAGGGAAGGGTGCGCGAGTCGGCTCCCTAGCGTGCCCACACCTCGGCCCGGTCCCGGGCGGGCTCCTGGGCACCAGGCCAGACCCCCGCGGTGCGCAGCCCAGCCTCGAGGGCGGTACCCCTCCTCTCCGCAAGCTCCCCTCCTCGGGACGCAGGCATCGCAGGTACGGGGACGCGGGCGCCGAGGGGACAGTGCGCCGGGTACCGTGGGGGCCACGCCGGGCCGGGCCCCAGCGGTGCCCCGGGACCTGCGATCGCCGTAAGTAGTGACTTCAAGGACGGAGTGGGGGGAGCCCCGAGTCCCTGCCCGGTCCCGCCCCCTCCACCTCGGCTATGCTATAGCTCGGACCGGAGAGGTGGCCAGGCGTCGCCGCCCGCCCCTCGGTGGAGTCCAGACGCCACTGCGGCTGCCCCGAGGCGAGGGTGGCTGAGGCGCTGTCACCCCACCGGGCACCGCCTGTCACCCCACCTGAACATCCATGGGCCCACCCAGCCCGCTCGGCAGCCACAGCTCCGCGTCCTCCTCCGTTCTCCAGGACTGGGTCTCGAGGTCACCCGAGGGTCCCCGAGTCCCCGGAGCTCCAGTCCAAGCGTGGGCCCCCTCGTCGCCTTCTGCCCGCGCTTCCATTCTAGGAGACCCGGGACTCCGGGCTGAGCTCAGGGCGCAGAGCCCTCGCGGCTCCAAAGTCGGGGCGCGACCCGCCTTCCCACGCCGTGGGTGGGTAGAGACCGGGGCGCTCTCAGGACGGGGTGCTGGGGAGTCGAGGCTCGGGTTTCCCAGAGCCAGGACTTCTGCGGGCTGGGCTCCGGGGGTTGCCCAGATTACCCAGATTAGGACGCGAGGGAGTCGGAAGATGGGCAAAACGTGCCTGAGGACCCCTACTGCCCCTTCTTTGGAGCGAGATTTGGGGGCTGGCGGTTTCTCTCTTTGCTCTGATTCTTTGCAAACTTTTACAGAGTTGAGGACAAAGGGAACCGCGCAGTCCTCGAGGCTCGGGCCTGGGGCGGGGACTTGGGGAGCCCGGGCCCCGCTCGGAGCTCTCGGAGGAAACGCGCCGGGCCGGCTTCCTGTGGGGGCGCGGGCCGCGGCGCCCCGCGGACAGACGTGTCCGGCCCGGGGGAGGGGACGTGGGGGCGGGGAGGCGAAGAGGGGCGGGG